CTACTACTACTGCGACGACGACTACCACTACTTCTACTACGACTAGCACTGCTAGTGGCACTACCACTACGACGACTGGTACTTGCGCGAGTACTAGGTCCTCGTACTGATACTAGTACTAGTACTACTTCTTCCACCACCACCACCACCACCACCACCACGACGACCCCGAGCGATCGCTGCCACTACTATACACGACTACAGCCTCTGCTGACCACGACTAAGACTCGACTACTGGTCGTCATCCGGCTCCTACCAGCAGTGCAGAATTATGACAGCTGCATTCGCTGCCCCAACGCCCTCGTGTTGCGCCTCTGCCAGCGTGTCCTCGAGTTCGGTCTGTCGCTCCTGCGTGCAGTCACCTACCAAGTGATTTGCTTCGGGATTGAAGAGCTTTGGGGTTTGGCTGCTGTGCTAAGCCCGAAAGCCTGCGGCCTAAGGCTTCAAAGAAGTGGCTTGAGCCTCAAATTTAGGGCCATGGTTTAGGCTCGGGCCTGATGATGACGGGTCAGCGTTGCTTGATGTGTTTGGGGCAAGGTTGAAAGATCCCCTCGGCACTATCTTCACCCTACATGAAACGTTGAACATGTTGAACACCAGAACCATGGTACCCAAAAACGTAATCACAAGGATTGTAACCCTGCAGCATGATCATCGCACTGGCAGGATTCCTGTCTCGATGTCTTGCCCCAAACGGATACAAAGTCTAATTTACAGCCGTCGTAACGGAGCGATAGCCCCAGCTTCCTCACATCGACAAAGGAATCATCAAATCAAGCGTCATACGTGTCTGCACGCCCCAGCCGGATCTGAAAGCTTGGACTAATGGTTCCAGGAGGGGCTTTCAGTTTCGGCGGTTTAGGAAACTGAGGGTTCAGGGTTCAGAGTCCTAGCCGAGGCAGCCCGGGTATGCGAGTGCCCGTGAAAAGTTGACCAGGGCTTCAGAGTACTTCCGTCCATCGCGGCATTGCATCTTGGCACTGGTTGAGATGCATCAGATGTACGCACAGCCAGGGACTTCAGGCAGACTTCACAGGCCCCTCCAACCCTAAACCGGGGCCCCAGAGCCGCCTAAGTCTAAACTCTAAACCTCTAAACCCCTAAATCCTAAACCCTGTAAACCCTAAACCTTATAAACCCTAAGCCCTAAACCCTATAAACCCTAAACCCCTAAACCCTATAAACCCTGTAAGCCCGATAAACCCTAAACCCCTGAACCCTATAAACCCCTCAACCCTATAAGCCCTAAACCCTAAACCCTATAACCCTAAAAACCCTAAAAACCCAAAAAGCCCTATAAACCCTATAACCCTATAAACCCAAAAAGCCCTATAAGCCCCAAACCCGTCCTGCTCGCGGTACTCGAAGGGCGCGCTCAGGTAGAGACTGCGGCCGAGCAGCTCCAGACCTTCCAAAGGAGCCAGGTTGTACCTTGGGAGCTGTGGGGGCTTTGATCTGCCTGGGGTTTAGGGGTTTAGGGTTTTTTGGGTTTAGGGGTTTAGGGTTTAGGGGTGTAGGGGTTTAGGGTTTTCTTTTAGGGTTAGCTCGTGTTTGGGGCTCCTTTTGCGGGTTGCAACAAGGGATGGTCCATGTGGGGATCAAGAGCTCATCATATTTTCAATTGCTCAGACTTCTTTCTTCGGCAAGCAGGAGTGCAGGGCTTCAGGCTTCACAGGGCTTCACGCTTTTTAGGGCATCGGGTCCGACACACGAATTCAGGTTTCCCGTGTGCTTCTAGCTTGAGGGGGGCGCAAGGCGAACAAGTGTTGTACGGATTCAGCTTGAGGGTGTGGGGTGTTGGCTCACGTGTAAGTACAAGTAGCACCTTTGGCAGGTCTTGTTGTTTTGAAGATTGCGGCTATGGACTGGTTTGTGCTCTGAACGCCCTTTAGGTGGAAAAGGCCTCTGCACGACTACTCCTTCAAGAGGCCGCAGGGTCATCACTGCATACTTTGCCACTTTGCCGTTTGCTGCTGATTCTGTGACAAGAGTTCCTGTTGGAACTACAGCTGCTATTGCTGCCACAAGAACAAAGCCTTGCTGCTGATGCCTTTTGACGATGAAGTTGCCACTTCGTGCCTGAAGCCCTCAGCTCGTTTTGAACCAGTTGACATCGCACACATGTAGTAGTGTAGTATTGGTGTGGCAGTATTGGTACCGAAGCCAAGGTTCTTGCATATCTTTACATCTGAAGTGTACCCAAGGCAGTTGCGTGTTGGAGAAGCTTGCTGGATGATGCTGCGTTGTTGGTTGTGTAGGCCCAGGAAGGGATCTGACCGAGGGGCTTCAACGACAGCTGCGCCCAAAGATGTGGAACCTCAGCATGGCTTCTCATCTTATTTTAGGAACGAGCTGTCCGTGAAAGTAACGGACCATACTCAGTCCTTGCAACTCTTACGGCTTCTCCTGCTACCTTTTGATCTTGATTGCTGACTGGAGTACTTTCTGAGATTGGGCTGCCAGCGCGGTTTGCGTGCTGCCCACGACAACAGACCTGCTCAAACCCAAGCTTTAGATCATTGGCTCCATTCACCCTGCACTAAGTTTTGGAAGTTGAAACCCCTGATCGGTAAATCTGTTAAACCGCAAAAACAAAAATGCAACAGGGGAGCACACGTGAACAATCTAATTACTCAGCGTTGTCATAGGAGCGGCCGACGGAAACAGAAAGTGGTGTCGCGGCCACAGCCACGGCAGCAGCAGTATCATCATCAGCAGCAGCACTTTCGCTTGGCGACGAATCCAGCAGCAAGCAACTGTATAAGATGCTGGAACAGCAAGAACGAGTCGTAATTCATTTCACAAGCAAAAACCATCGTCATCAGTGTTGTCGTCGCCATCATCGTCGTCGTCATCATCATCTCCTCGTTTCGTGGAGTGCTTTCCAGTTGGCAAGTCCCGAGCCCCGTCCCCACCTTACATCCTGTGCCTTCGAAGCAGAATCCAAACAGAAGCTTACCGAAACACACGGTGGTACTTCGACCATAGTGGGCTCAACAAAGTACATAACGTACAGCCACCCCACGCCAGGCCAGCGGCGAGAAGCCCCGACCCTCCTAGCGGCCCGTCGGTTTGAATGAAGGCCCAAAATCCATCCGGCTGCGATGCAAAAGAACGGCCCTGGGAATACACGAAAGGCCTAAGCCCAAGGGTAAGCAGCGTGGCTGCTCTCATCATGCACGGTGTTAGAAAGCCAGCCGGGGTCTCCGGGCTCCTCTTCTGCTGCCAGGCAGCCATGTGGCCGCGATACTTGGTCACGATAGCATTGATGTTGCTCATGTTCGTTTGCCTCTAGGTCTGCGCAGCTTGAAACCATTATGGGCTATTGGCTTGGCGCATGAAGAGTAACTAGCGGACCTGCACCCTGGTACAGGTTCCTTACTCTCCACCCTGAACAAGACAGAGACCAGCATCCTTGACGCAGAGACATGCATAAGCGCCGGATAGCACCCAAACAACCGTCGCGCATCTGTACACTTTGTCCGCTGATTCGTCTCCAAGAAGATTTCAGGGTTTGGGGTATGCGGGATGGTTGTGTTCTAGTGGATTCTAGAGTTTGGTTCAGGGTTTACCACGGATTCTGAAAATGGCGGCGCAGACTCAACCTCGGCATTAAGAAATCCTGGCCGGCCTGTGCTGCGTGTAGAAGTCTTCCAGAGTTTCATGGAGCACAATGTCCTGCAGCCGCACGGTAGGAAGCACCATGATGCGGCAGCACGCAACTGCACACAGACCATACGAGAGCCTCCGTGCTGAAGTCTGCAGGGGGTGGTGGTGCGGTGAGGTGATGCACCTCCACACGGCTTCCGGAAGGGAATGATGATTGACATCGCTTTGCCGACCACTGTTGCTTAAAATTACTCAACTTGCTCTTGGAGGGCCCTTACAGTCCCAAGCCGAACACCAAAAGCTCTTGTGGAGGGATCCTGACATAAATGGAGGGATGCTGCCTGTTGAGGGATTTGGGCAACGAAGCAACGAATCCGAAAATGACGGTGACCCCGCGCCGGGACACACTGCATAGCAGTCAGGATCTGCCACTGAAGGGCCTAATGTAGGCGCCTGAAAGCCGCAAACACAAGACTTAGGTTGCAGGAGTCTCTTGGTTTATTCCAGAAAAAGTTAGGGAACCCAGGATGCTGAGTACTATAGTATCAAAGCTACTAGATTTTCAAGCTCATAGAGTCATAGAGTTGTACACTTAAAAAGACTTCGACAGAAGCTATTGCTAGTCCTCACAAGGTCTAGTAGCAGCCACTCTAAGGAACGAGCTTGTGAGAAGTACGGCGGCATAAAAGCACAAGCATCATCCTCACTACCTTTCAACACTCGTGAAGCCCTAAACTCTCAACTTCCCCTATCCTGTCCCATTCATACTTGTGTTGTTCTTCTCATCGCTAGCCGAGCCCAGAGCTTTTTGCCGTAACTTTCAACTTCGATGACTGGAAACGCTGGCCTCGCTATGATCGTAGTCCGGCTGAGCAACCTCCGCCTCCTCCGACCCGCTGCTGTCCATACGGAACATTGCCTCTGCTTTTTGGGCTGTGAAGTCAAGGCTTAGGGCCTCAGGGCTTTGGGATTCGAAGGTGAAGCTGCGAACTTCCTGAGGCCCCCTGAAGCCCTGAACCATCGGCACCTGCAGAGCCAGCCTGCAAGCCCAAAGCCCTGTAGAGACCCAAACCCGAATACATTGTTGGACTCCGAGAATCCGACCTTCGACCCACAACCCGTCCCGTGGCCTGGCGTTTGTGAGTCAGAGGGTTGAAGGGGTATGGTGAAGGCTAGAGCCAAAGTCTTAACCAAAAGGCCCCACCCTACTTCCTAAACCCTACACACCCATCCCTAAACCCTAAAGCCATAAAATAACTTCCTCTGGGCCGCCGCTCGCTCGGACTTCTCCTGGGTGCTCTGCGAGGTGCCTGTGGTGTCAAGCTCCTGGCGGCAGTGGGTTTGGAAGTTCGGATTCAGCATGCAGCGTGTGGGATCTAGGCCCCCCCTAGGCCCTACACACAGAAACGCCTAAACCCTAAATCCGCAAAGCGGAGCTCCTAGTACCCGAACCCCATTTTCGGCCCACAGAACACGAGCTTCCATAATGGGGGCGATTGCAGTCTGTGTTTCAAAAGGTCGATGTGAGCCTCCAGCTTGTCCTCTTGGGGGTATGCCTGGCAGTGGAAACCCAGGTGGTAGAAGGTTGAGGGCAGTTTGGGGGAATGCGATCGAGTACGTAGTCAGGAGTTTTGGCTGCCGGATTCGCATGTTGGCAATTCGGAACACGTGATGTTGTGGTTTCGGGTTTTGGGAGTAGTTCTCCAGGTCGGAAGTTTTCTCGTTTCGCGATTTGGACTTTGGAAGGCTCGTGAACTCAGAGGCCTAGAACCTCAGCCAATACTCCCAGGTGCTGGTCAGGTCCCGGGTTGAGGCGGACTTCGGTCCAAGGAGTTCGCGCCTCCCACCACCGTACGCTTTCATGATCGACCAGTGATGATGTTGCTAGTTACCAAAGTTCATAGTATGGCTTAGTACGGGTGCCTTGCAACGGCTGGCAACTCATAAAACAGTAAAACTGTGATTCATGCTTTCGGGAGCGTGAGCTTTCCTACCGGGGTGCAGGCGCCCGGGCAAGAGAGGCCTCCACTCTGGGTGCGGCTGGCGTGGCTTTGGGCTGCCTCTCGGGTGTTGGCATCACTGGAGCCTGACATACGGGCAGCATACGGTCAGCTTTGCATGCCGGAAACCGACAGAACGCCACATGTGGATTTATTGTAGCAGCAGTATTCGTGACAACCCCCCACAAAAAAATTTGGTGGTTTCTGCTGCAGCGCCATCCGTACCAGCATTTACTGTTGTCGTAGTAGTACTAGTAGTTGTCGTAGTAGCCGTAGTATTAGTAGAAGCAGTAGTAGTAGTAGTAGTAGTAGTAGTAGTAGTAGCAGTAGCAGTAGTGCTGGTAGTACTACTAGCACTAGTAGTAGTAGTAGTAGTAGTAGTAGTAGTATAGTAGTAGTAGTAGTAGCAGCAGTAGTACTGGTAGTACTACTAAAACTAGTAGTACTAGTAGTAGTAGTAGTAGTAGTAGTAGTAGTAGTAGCAGTAGTAGTAGTAGTAGTAGTAGTAGTAGTAGTAGTACTGGTACTGGTACTGGTACTGGTACTGGTACTGGTACTGGTACTG